GCTGTCTAATTTTCGTAAGCATATGTCAGACAAGCTAAATCGATATACATGTCAGTGACCTTTGCTGGACACGTTAACTGTCCGTGAGCACGATGCCAGTGACCTTTGCTGACTGGATATAGTGGGTAAAAGATAGTTATGTAACACAAGTTTTCTCCCTTGCTGTGATCTTGGATAGAAGTCAGTGTAAGTTTCATCAATATTAGATTTACTGTGTTTAGCTGCTGCTGCAGCTCTATACACAGAGGGACTAGTGAAGTACATATTATTGGTCACAGGTACTACCTGTCGCCTTAAGAGTCTCCGGGCAAGAGGTGTGTCAACATCATTCCACATTTTGAACAGTTTGAGTATGTACGATGCATTGTCAGCAGTTGGTTTCCCAGTTAGCAAGGACATGCTGCTTGAGCTTCGGGAGCTTGAACTGTTTTGTCTGCTGCGTGCTGTCACCTTTTTTTCTTTACCTGTGCTGCTTGCTGGTCTACTGGTCTTGTTTTCTGATTGACTGCTCGACTGTCTTTCTATGATGTCAGTAACATTAGGCAAGTAGTGATGTATCGGCACTTTGCCTCTGGCTCGACTTCCAAATGGGTCAGCAAATTGGTTATAAGTGGCAGATAAACTACCAGTAGAAAGTCTATGTCTTGCAACAGGCTCTTTCGGAGATCTAGCTGACCTTGCTGAGTGAGAACGAGGCTGCGATGACGCGTTTTTGCTTTTTGGGTCAATCTTTTCAGTTGTACTTTCCATTTGTATTTCAGTTTTACTGTCAGTTTGACAATCATTAGAATGCTCATTTAAACTATCATCAGCATCAACAGACACATCGTCACTGTCATAAGTACGACTATCGCAGTGTTCGTCACTGTCCTGGTCTGCTTCCTTCATACTAGAAATCACAGAAAACCTCACTGTAGCGCTTTTAGCTTCACGCAAAACTGACGTACTAATTTTTCTTACCGGCAAACCTGATGTAACAACATCCCTCTCCACAACTCGAATAGAGTGATTTATGTTTTTCATACAACTTCTCTTGGCTTTTTCGAGTCGGTTCAGTTTCATGTTCAGCCTACTGTCCTCAACAGTGTTCAGATGCCATGCTTTATGAATGTGCAACATACTGATATTAATAATAATAATCAACAAAGTTCAAATCAGAGTTTTGAATGCTGTTTTTTTTATCACGTATATTGAGGCCTTTCAGTCCATCGTAACAAAACTAAAGATATTTGTAATGGTGACAAAGCATTGTTGGTTGCATGAATCAATATTGATGCTAGCAGTGTTATCGGTAATGTTATCAATGTAAACAAGATTGTTCAGTAGTCTTCAAGTGTTTGTGCAGGACACCTTCAAAAAGTAACTCTCCATGGCCTGCCACATGGGAAAAAAACAAACATATCAGAGATACCAAAGGCAAGTTTGATCAGACACCAGCTGCTATTCGTCACCCGTCAAACAGGTAATGGTACACGTGGGCACCTTCTTCACATTCAATATAGACTGCTTGAAGTACTTGCAAAAAGTGTTTACCATTCAGTGATTCTGCAACGATTCACAGATCAGATTCCAGCATTGTCCGATCACTCTTATTAAAGCAGGCACTCAGAAGTCAACAGTGCCAATTCACAGTCACGCGAAACTAATCCAAAAATTGAAATTCCGCAAAAGATTAAAACACAAAAAATCCGTCGAGACACGGTCATCACCTGGCGCCTATAACTTATATAACAATTTTCTATTGACATAGCAGCGACACAACAGGAACATGCACTCCAGCGTGGTGGTAATATATACGACAACAGAGTCCAGAGGTTGTTTAGAAGTTATTTACCATATAAGCAAACACATCAACAAATCACGATAAAGTTATGCTAACTCTGTCCGCCAACCACCAATAATCCTCTGCAGAGTCTGTATTTGCAACACTAATTCTGCTTAAACATTACACTGTATTAGACACTGAATCTCTCTTTGTTTAAATCATCACCCACAGTTACCGGTACATACCTATGCAACATCGTAACACAATGGGTAGGGTAACTCTTGGTGCCCCGACAATAGTCGGTGAACAAATAATTACTAACCGTTAAAAAAACTATTGACTTTGGGATTAGGTAAATTATATTATCAGATGTAATGGGCCACATCCATCAGGACAACAGTAAACAGTCTGTTGCTAAAAGCCCTAATAATCATACTACGTGTATCATTATTTACGTCCACTTTGTTCTTGCATTGTTAACTAAGTCACACGTCAACTTTAATGACAAAGCGGTTCCCTAGCCAATACACTTGAAGTGTTTTTTCATTGCTAATAATGCAAAATGTGCCCTTTAATAAGCTCACTAATGTTTATTCATGCTATAAATTTTCAAATGTTTCGTTCAAGCATGGTTTTTGCTAAGTGCAGGAGGGAGATGAAAATTGAAGATGACAATTCTATTGGGTGCTCCCGTGTGACTACCTTGGTTATCCATGAGAGAGTGACTCACTAGAGGGCAGCAGCAGCTGATCTAGATTCCTAAAATAATGTTCCCCATTCATTGGCCAGATGACTGCAATCATTTCTGTAATTTATAAACTAAACAATTCCTGACATACACAGACCCCGTTCATTTTCAATGTAAGTTCATCCATGATAAATATCAATTATACAAGCCTGGAAGATCATTCATTAAACATAACAGATTGGCCAAAAGTCAGCAATTTAGTCATTTTGATTTGGATCACACAAAAAATGCATGTGCACGTATCCCGGGATATATGTAAGTGTGAAGTCTGAATGTGATCAGCACTGCATTATTACCAAGTTTAAATGAGATTCATCTATACACAACCAAGATCTGGTTTTGAAATGACAGAAGTTCTGAATGAATATTCGACAGTAAAAAAAATATAGTAAAATGGCAGCCATATTGAAGCAGATCAAATGAGATATTTATGTATGATGTATGCGTGGTGTTTGAATGTGATAAATCCAGGCATGTTTAAAACACACATGTGACTCATAATACTTAGTGAAAGAAGTCTATCTGTGAAAGAAACTTCTATTTACTACTCTAGTCAGATATGTATTTTATGCTTGAATTTATTCCATTTAAAAACGTTCTGCTTCACAATACACATGAAAACGCTAGTGAATTATTAATTTATGCAAATAAGATTTTTTTTTAATGTAAACCATTTTATATTCAATAATGAAATATGAGCCCTTGTATGAGAGTACAATAATACCAAGGTTAAGTGACGACAGATGCCATAATCGTAAAGTAGTAACTATTGGAGTGTACACACTAGTTACCGTGGCATGTCCTGATAGATTTTAGACAAACTGGGGATAAGCTCACATGCCTTTAAATTAAATAGCCCATCATAAGGTCAGAGGTCGTCCATTTAGTACATGATAAACCATTATTAGAGCACATTATATCACAGTTACCAAGCTACATGTTGTAGCACAAAAGTCGGTACAATAAGGGAGGAGGGGTAGACATTTTTTTTCATGAAACAATGTTTACACTTCAAAACCAAAAAATGGAGAGAGGAGAAAATGTGGCTGTGAAAAGAAATTCTCAAAAGCACAATTGAGATACACATTACGTGTACTTTTAAAACAATGGAGTCTATCGATGTGCAAATTGCAATGCAAATAGTATACTGTAAAATGACTAATTTTCACTGGGTTTAAATTTCGCTGATTCACCATTTCGGGCATATTCAGTGGGTTTTAAATTCACGGTTTTGTCATTTAGATAATGTGTTCTATGCTAAATTTTACATATTCACTGGGTTTTAATTTAGCCCATTTTCCATTCAGCGAAATAAGCAAAATTAAAACCCAGTGAATAATTAACCCTTTTACAGTATGTATATTTCTGACATATTTTGTCACAGAAACCATACTGTATTTGCTCTAATTAAAGTACCGGGTACACATACATAAAAAAAGCAGTTTATGTATGAATGTGAATCATAAAAATGTGTCAATTTTTGACCATAGACACACCTTCCACATTTATTTATTGCACTACCCCCGGGTACTAATAGAACAAATATGGTCTTCATGTTGAGATTAAAGATTGAAAATACTAGTAAACATTTAAAATTAATTATTTTCTTCTCATTCTCCTCCATAGCAGTGTTCATGCTACACAAAGTACAATCTTAGACGTAAGCTAATCTACGGTATGTGCATATTGGAAAGACCCAATTGAGTACATGCACGAAAGCAAACAGTAGTTTAGCACAGGCTAAAGAACACCAAAACTTGTTAAGAATATACAAAAAAAACTTCAGTCATTTTAACTAGGATTACTCAGTACAGTAACTGGGAAGGTATACATGTTAGTTCTACAGTTATAAAACAATACCAAAACAAATTCAGAAAATGCAGATTACAGAATTTCTTGAGAACAATATCTCTGGATGTACTTGCGTTGATTGTCACGTCAGAAATGGCATACAGCAATGTGTAGTTAATGAATATAATAGAAAATGTTCATGCTACATAAAGTCTTGAAAACGGGTAAGATTGAATCGGTACCTAATAAGCTATGCACAATTTTAGTGTTTGTTTTGTATTTCATGGTAAATAATCAAATTTACCTCCATTTTTGGGTGTAAAAACCCATGAATATATCCCATTAGTTATAGATATGATCAATTTTGTTTTGATTCAAAAAGTAAGCCGTTATAAGGGATGAAGTGGCTGGAAAACTGTACTGTACGAGCTCTGTCTGCTGCAAAGCTTTGAATAATGACATCACATATTCAAACAATGCTTTATCAGTAATGTCTATCTTAAAGTGACAGTATTGTGTGACTCTTTTCCTATTATAGTGGAGGGAGAGGGGGGATCTTGATTTTTTAGCGGAGTGGATACTGAGTTTAACTTGTGACCGATCAGTCATGGGTCCCGGTTCAACTAACAGTAATGATTGTGATTGATTAGTTATTGTGCAAAAGTACACTCATATATCACATGATTGAAGTATTACCTTATAACCCTTGTGTGAGCCTTCAGTGATGCTATTTGTCGTCCACAGCCATCCGCCCAACTCCAAATATCAGCACTTTGATTAGACTACAATATAAAAAGAACATATCAAATCCTGCACATCAAGTTTATTTATAATGATTGTCAGAGATATGGTACTAGAACCACCTTCATTAAAACAAAATGGCCACCACTCGGCCATTTTGAATCCAACCAGAAAAATAAAATGACATGCATCAAGGTCCTATAATGTATGTACCAAGTTTGAACAAAATCTGTAAACTGTAAACAGCCGAGATCTGGTTCCGGAATGCCAGAACTGTTTGATATTCATCATTTATCAGCACAAAAATGGCCGCCATTCGGCCATCTTGAATCTGATCGTGAAACAAATTGATGTGCATATGTATACTATTATGTGTAATGTATGTGTGAAGTTTGAATGTAATCAGTCCAGGCATGCCTAAGATATAGGTTGGGGTGCACACACATGGACGCACAGAGGTCAATCCAGTTACGTTTCATCAGTATGGATAACATTTTTCCCAACCCAGAAAACCAGAAGCCAGGTGTGTGGAAAGCACTATTGTCACTGCTGAGAGAAGAGTTAACCTTGGGAATCAAATACAATATCTCTCTGTTTCTGGGCAGACACCCTAACAATTATTATAATGTGAGCGCCCTCACAAGAGTGTATTAGATTACTTTGTTTTTACTAGTGTAAGTCATACAAGAATTAACATTGCATGACACTGTACCTTGATTTACATTCACCGTCAACATAATAGTTACCTGATTAACAATTCTAGGTAAAAAGACATACAATAATTCTGTTTTCATATGCAATACTACAAAAAGGAATTTATTTTAGAAATGCTATTATGATTTTTGTTAGCAGGGATGTTTGGCAAAAAAGGTTAAAAGGTGGTAGTCGTCGTGCCACGCATGTGCGACATTAATGTTGATAAACACTGATTCTCCCACAATCCATTGCGGTCTTCTAATAGAAATCACAATTATGAGGTCTTGCACTAATTACTATGGTAACTTGATACCTTCCAATCACCTAAAAAATACTTTAAAGCTTAGTAACGTCTCAGTTAGTACTTGTTGATCTGCATAACAGCCAAAGTCGTCATTTTTGTTCATACGAGACCCAAATATCTTGCACATGCGTGGCACAATGACTACCGCCCTTTAAGTTTATTGCTATATACAGGCTACTGCGCCATCACAAAAATTATATAACTTTGACTAAATATGGAAATATTTTGTATCTGATCCACAAAACCAAATGACATACACCTAGCCTTATTGTATCTCAGCCAAGTGTAAATTAGTTCGAGTCAACTAACACGATAAACAGGACAACAGCAACTACCGGTACTGGAAAAGGCTCTTTGCTAATAATGGTAATTTCTCTTTCCTTACATGTACAAATCTTTCACATTGTGTATTTAAAGCGCGGTGGTCGTCGCGCAGCGCGTGTTCGAATTTCATGTAAATAAACAATGTATTTTACACGCGTTGTATACGTCGCTATGAGTCCCATATCGAACAGGACGCGGCAAGACGACTGCAGCCCTTTAAGAAATTGTAAGCTAGTTCTCAAATTAAAATATTATTATCATGGGATAAGAACAAAAATTCACCCATGCACCTTGTCGTGCAAAGTGATATTGATCAATAAACATAAATCAAGAAGTTGACAAATGAAATATGTACTTACAGTCGCGGCAAATAAGTTCTTCTGTAAAACATGTGGGTTCCATTCCACGACACTGACTTCCCACCTGCTTTGTCTTGACAACTTCTTCACTACATCCTGAGGTGTATCCAAATTAATTACAGCCCACACTCTTTTCCTGTGAGTATGATAAAAGTTATAAGTCAAAACTGACATTTACAGTAGTAGTGACTGAATCACAGACTAGTGCTAAGTTAATGTCTTTCATAATAATACATTCCTGGAATCATTTCACTTTTACATGGGCTTCATGTGATGTATACAGCAAGGGTAAAATTTGTTCACACAAAATTTTAATGCAATTTTTTCCATACATCAGTAGCACCCAAACCATACTACTAAATCTATAGAAATCATTGGTGAATACTACTGTGGACAATTTACCTACGTGTTTCTCATAATTGGAACACATGCTGGTAACGCTACAGACGCACAACTTACAAACCAATATCAGATCTTCAGCATGTGCCACAAACGCTGGAATAAAACACTACTATTTTGAGGGGGGTGTTCAGAGTTTGATCCAGCTAAATAACAGTGGGAATGAACCAACCGTAGACACACATTGTTATGAGCATAACATAACTGTGATTCACTTGATGGTACCCACTCTTTTAAAATCATACATGTCTAACACCCTGCACCCTGACTACATAATACTACGGTAAACGTCTCGTAAACATTTACATTGTGAGCCATCCAGTCTTTGAAGGACAGTGCGTGATCGTCGTCAGGCATGTTCAAATTTTGTGTAAGCAAACAATGTATTTTACATGTGTTGTGAACATCGCTACGAGTTTCACATCGAACAGGATACGGTGAGATGACCATCACCTTTTAAGCATGTTATGATGCGCGTCCTCAAATGATCCAATAACGAAAATGTCCACAGAGGTACCATGCCCAATAATACAACATCATGACATAACAAGGACTTTAACGCAGAACCCCCTCATTATAAGCTTATAGAGAACAATATTTATATACCTATTCTGTCATAATACAAACAATGTACCCGATACAATAAATAATGATTATTTAATGAAAAGGTTGAAAAGCGTAAAACTATTACCGGGGTACCCAACAAAAAATAATAGGGTACAACATCATAGCATGATTTCCTTGTAACAAAAAATTGTAAACCTACATATGTACATGTACTTTCATAATGTGATGAAAAATAAAGATACCTACCCTGCTAAAATTGCAAACTGGCCAGTACAATCCACTGACATGGCATTGGCCTGAAATATTAATTAAATGAGAAATGAGAAATAATTTCATATTTTGGGTTATTATAAATTGACGGAAGCATGCACTTGCTAAAATAGAAGTATTTGAGGCAATATGTTGTTAATTATTTAACACAGGTTTAATTTAGGTTATAATTCAACAAGCATT